AAATAATGACCATTTGTCAAATGTCTTTGATTTGGGTTATCGATTATCCAACCTACACAAAAGTCGTAACCATGTGCAATGGGCTGTCGCCTACAAGCAGCCCAACATAATAAATATCAAGACTGGAAGAAATAGATTTCAATTAAGCTGTTAGACTAAGATAATTACGTCATCACCTAAGGAACGCTCCCATGGACACGCGACTTTCGTAGGACGAAAATAATTGAGTAATCACTTGCTAGATTACTCGTCTTATTAGGAGCCAGTTATGTAGTTAAGTGGGATTTTCCTCAAAATCAAATGCTTTCATGCAAAAGACAGATCATGATGTAGAAAGGGCATCAGAGATCTCGCTGTCTTGACTGCGGTCCGGAAAGTCGGGTCCACCCGTCCACCTTTTGGCTACCCGGGCTCACTGACGCTGCTCTAAACGCCTTCGTGGTTGTCATTTTCAGCCGAATCCACAATGCACCTGACTAAGCCGAGATCTAAACAAACGGGGGCTGAGCTGGATGAGGGTGGAAATACCAAGTGTTTACGCTGCGATATATTTTGCCTTCTGTAATGGTTACTAGCAACCAACGGGCGACCTCTTTGCTGACTTAATCATCTATGACGACTCCTTTTTGGCGGAGGGAGGGCATGCCGGCAAATACTACCGTTTTGACCTAGGCTTCCAATCCCATGATCATGACGTGAATTGGAGTCCACAACAACCCTCTCCCCTTCGACACTCGATCTGGCATTCGACCAAATGGTGAGCTGTCGTCCATCCTATACAGCTACGTTATTGACTGTACTTTCGAAAAAATCCTCGACGAAGTTGACGGTGTTTAGTTTGCCCTCGGACGTTGGTTGACAAATCTTGGTCAGGCTGATGAAAGCACCCTGCAAGCTTCGAGTTTTCATTACCTACTGTCTGCAGTGTCGCGAGTGAATGAATTAACTAAGTAGGTGCGTTTATCTATAAATGCTGGCATAACCAAAAAGTGTTCGAGCTGCACTCCTAACCAAGGGGAGACATTCTTCGGGGTGAACAGCTGTCAGCATGAAAAATTAGGCAAATAAAAATACCTCGTTGCGAAGTCTCAGGCAAATTGACGGGGTGAGACGACGTCGTAACTCGGGTTAGTGTTGTCCGTATGATATTAAGGATCTTTAAAATGTACCTACGGACCTGACGCGACATCTCAATCGCCAAAAGGATCCACAAGTTCCCTGCGTACGTCGAGCCAGTTCGCCTCTACCGTTATGAATACTTAACTATAGACGTGCAATACTCAAAGGCAATGTAGACCGCCACCTGCGTCAACAACCGAAAGAGACTGAATTTGAACGGCTCGCCGCACACAATGCTGATTTGGGATCACGCAATGACTGGAGTCATTTTTTGGATACCAAGGCAAAGGTTGTAAAAAGCAGGGGGGAGAGAATTGTTTAAATTGCTATTCTGGCAAGTTGGGCCACTTGCTTGGTTTTAAGCAATTTTCGTGCAAAAAATTTGATTGGTCGTCCTTCAGGGAGGGAGCCAGGGACTTCGCCGTATTTGCCATAATGAGGATGAATAGAGCCAGCGCTTTTACAGGCTACGGCTTCTAACGACCTGGAATAATCGACATTTAAATCCCTTGGGAGAACGCCACGCCTAATAAAACCAATACGCGACGGACTTTTGTCCCGCTATTTGCATGTCTCTTTTTCACAACTGTGAACAACATTTAATTAGGATTGGAATCTGTTACGAATATTCGAATTATTTGCGCTAAAGACGACGTTCGAAACAAGGTTCAGGTTCGCCGCCTCAAAATCATAGCTCTTCGTCATGTTTTGTCGTCAGCGAGTTTTTGGGCGAACTTAGTTACTTGGCATACAAATTCGAAGGACAGAATAGCTCGAGGTTGGATTTATCTGCATCTATCCACATATCTCGTTACCAACCCCCAACAGAGTTGTCAATTGGGGGTGAGATTCAGGAGACATAACATCCCAGAGCAGTGTAATGTTAATCTGCGGGTAAGGATAGCGCGGTGACATAGTGTAGAGAAATTTAAGACGCGACCTCAGGGACGGGGTCGGATAACGAAATGCAGGCATTCCCTGTCAAATCACCTTAGGAAATGCGTAACTACTGAGCACACAGGTCCTAAATCCGCAGATAAAGCTTGTCTTTGCGGAAACTTTGTATTCTATCGGCTTACTCGTCTGAATGTCACACCGACTGCAAAAGCATCGATTAGATCCAACAAGAGCGGTAAACGGTTGGGTTACTTTTATCCTAACTGGTTGATAGCAAGTTCTACTAAAAGCAAAACAACCTTTTCCTTTAATCAATAGTTTTACTATATACCATGGTCGAACAGATACTGTTGACTTTGAAATCCAAGACGATAAGTTTGTTCTATACGGTTTTGACTTCTAGATTCCTTTCTGTTGCCTTCAAGCCAATGTTGGACACATTATATTACAGATTAATAGGGGGCTTTCAGACACCACGAGATCATGAGCATAGCCTGAATGCATGATGCATGGAACCGCAGACACCCTCGTGAGGTAGAC